AAAGAGTGTTTAATATATTTGACACTGTTTAAAATTCTTAGAATAGCAGTATGTAATAATATCCACCTTTTGAAATTTTTTGGAAACTCCTTGGTGTGAAGGGCTATATTTAACCAACCTTATTATGCTGTTGCCCTTAGCATGTTGCAGGCTGACTCTCCCCCAAATGCTTTGGAGATTAGACAGGAGAGATTAGATCACCACCCCTCACAGATATGTAGTCAGTAGTCGTCTGTCACACAGTTACTGTTTGACATAAATATTACTTGGCATAAATTAATATCACATGCAGTGAAAAAGAAGAGTTTTCCATGTTGTATGTGATTCTAATTTCTTAGAGACCTCTTTGCTTCAGTTGCTATCATTTTAGAAGAGACGTTTGTGACTGAACAAACATTGAAGCACACTATGTGAAGACTGGATAAAACTGTGTTTTCATGTGTTGCTGTACTGTGTGCTCTTACAGTCAACAGTTACGGACTTTTCCTCAGGGTGAAGAATGGAATCAAACTGATTCATTGAAGATAGGCCCATTAGATGGGCTCCTGATAATCTCAATGAGATAATGAAAAAACTGTTTCTGTTGTATCGTGAAATAAGTGTATCCAAGTCAGCAATATGCTTGTGCACATGAACATGTTGTTAATAATAACAACAACAATAATAACAGTAATAACCAACTTCTAAAAACCAAAAATGTTTCCCCCAAACCATCTTAAAAATGCAGGATTCAATGCACGTGTCAGCAAAGAAAAGTTTTTAACTGAGCTGTTTTTAACAAGTTTCTGGATTCAAGTTTTAATGAGGGCAGTGTAATCATCCATTTCTTCTTACATTCCAGGACAAGGCAGAAATCTTAACAAGTGGCAAACATTACCTTGGAGACCATATTTGGATTTTTTCAAGACCCAGACAACTTCTGTGTGATTAAAAAGTAGATTTTGGAGTAGAGCTTCCTAAGTCTTTTTGCAATAGACAAAATGCTTTGAACTAAGGAGGGAGTTGTTAGTTATGCCATTGGCCTTTTTTTAAATACAGTTTTTCTGCATTTTTGAGAAAGTCTTTAAAGATAATTGAGGTGTAACAGGCCAAAGTGGAACCACTGATGATACAGTTCATACTGGAATGGAGCAAAAGTTCAACAAGAACTCAGAGTTGCATAAAAGTGGTAAAGTGATCGTTTTAAAATCCTCATCGTTATCTTCAGGTTTTGTTACTCCTGTTGTCTGGAGATGATTATCTATTTCTTGCATTCTCATTGCTCAACTCATATTCTGAGGGAGAATTATTTTTGCTTTCAGAAGTACCACTTTAATAACTTTAGAGAAAATGTAAAGAACCATCATCATGCTTTGTTGTTGTTAAAGTACTGTGGCACAATCAGTAGCCTAAAAAAATCTTGACATTTAAAACTGGCTTTAGGGAAACAGTAGTTTGCAGACAGTTTCCCAGAATCCCCTCTGGTTTTCTTTTGATTTATTTTCAGGCCAGAAATAAGGCACATACATTTTCTAAAGATCAGAAGTTCATGTATTCTTTCAGTACTATAAAGAGCCCTATGAAGAATAGGCTCTCACTTTCCAATAGGACTTTCCAAGTCAACTGCTTGCGGTGTGCAAAGTAGAAAATTCACTCCAGTATTTTAGAGAGCTGCAGCAGAAATGGCTATGAGTTGGCCCAAACCCTGTTGTTCTGCTGTTCTGTAGTCACCTTTTTAGCCTAGTTTGGGGTTTGACTTTCCTCCTTCAAATTGTGTATTCTAGATACTTTTGCAAGAACAAGTTTTTTTCTGAAACAGAAATAAATGTAAGTGAAGTTTAAAGCACTACATCATCTCTGAGTGATTCCCAGTAATCATTTGCCATCTGTAAGTTTTACTTACTGTTCGCTTTTATCCTCTATCAATGGCAGTGCTCAGCAATAAATGTAGCGCTGTAGCACACAGAAATAGAGTATAAAATTGTTGCATGAAAACAGTCTCGAAGTACAAAATCCAGCCTAGATCCCATGTGTCAAACATCCAGAGAGATTCAGGCCCGGCGTGTGGTTCAGGCCGATCTTGAAACACATAGAGTTTTTCTGGAAACTACATATGATATCATACAAACCAGCCTTTGCCTTTGGTTTCTGTGCAGCAAGAAACATTCTCTTTAAAAGAGAAATTTCTTTCTTTACCTAACCGTTAGGCCATGATGATTATCTCCCAAGAGAAGGGCTTGTTTGGTGCTTTACAATTTGTTTAGTCACAATTGTTTGGAAACAGGTCTTAAACTTTAAAAAAACCCCACAGATCAGAATAAAGCAGGATGAAACTGAGCAGGCATGTGTTGACAACAAAGTGGTGTGTAAAAGCCCTTGCATAGCTCAGTCGTCTTTTAGAGCCCAGACTCTGAAAAGCACTTCTGTGCAGCTCCTAATGGATGCTTAAATCCCATTCACTGTCACATGTTCAGGATCCTTTAAAATATGCAGTGTTCTCAGCTCCTGCTGGTTTCACAGAAATGAAGAATTCCTTCTCTCACAGGATTGGACCATGGATGCTTTATGTAAATCATGATGGTGTTAGCTAAAATAGGAATAATAATTCCCAGACCTAAAATGAGATGACAATGAAGGAGATTAGCAATTCTACCCATTTTTGTATGGATCCAAAATACGAAGACAACATGTAGCATAGAAACAAAGAAGAATTAACAGTATCTACTAAAAACGTAAAAAATGTTTGTAGCTGGCCAAACCAAACGTTTGTCTTGCCAAATATTCTGACTCCAACCATGACTTTATGAAGGGGAAGAAAATTGGACAGGACAAGTTGGCCTTCAGCTGTTTTCAGCTCAAGGAACTTCCAGGACTGGATCAAATGTCTGAGTATTTAAAAATCCTTAATGTATTTCTTCTTCATTAAACTGTCTAATTCTTGGTGAATCTTTGCCAACATTTAACACCCACAACATCCTTTGGGAAGGAGCTTCATGGTTGTGTGAAGAACCGTCTCCTTTTACTTGCTTTGAACCTGGCTTTTAGCTTCATTTGATGTCTTCTATTGGAAAACATGGTGAACAAAGTAAACCCCATGTACCTCACATGAACACCCAGGACGCTGTAGCTCTTTGTTATATCCCCTGTGGAGTTTTATGTCCTCAAGGCTGAGCTAGAGGCAGGAAAGAGTTCCATGTAGAAGCCTCTGTGGTTTCTGTCTCTGCAAACACTGATGCAGAGAGTTTTTCTAGCTTCTCTGCGGTGCCCCTGTCTTCTCTTGTGCTCCTTTATACTTTGATCACTAGTGGACCCAACAGACTTCCTGCTCTTAATGTATTTGAAGTAAGATTTATTGTGAATTTTGTGAATACTGTGAATTTTGATTCCTCTTTGTAGTTGTTCCTCAGACTCTTTTTGGCCTGCTTGTTTGGAAACATGACTTAGATGGCCGAGTTAGGAAGAGAGCTAGTTTCCATAGCTTTTTTGATGTTGCGAGAGAAGTTTCTCCAAGAAGGTAGTTCCAAGCAAGACCTAACTGTAGTATTCTGAAATGCTTTTTTTGGAAGAGCTTCCTCTTGCCACTGCCTATGTAATGGCGCATCTACCTTAGAATTTTATTTCAGAACACAAGTGTGCTTCTGAGGCACATCTCACTGTTGTCCTCATGTAGTGCACTTTGATTTGCGTCGTGTTCTTGGAGCTCATGAACCAGACTCCTTTTGTAGAGAAAATACTGGAAAATGTGCTCCAGAAGAGCAATGAATGTGCTTTATCTTGGAGGGGGATACACAGCGTGAAGTGAGCAAGGATTTAATTTAGTAACTCATCACTTCATTCTTGAAAGGGCAAAGAGGGACTTGAGGAAGTCTATAAATCCCAGATCTCCCTTAAAAAATTTTTGATAAAGTAGACAGCAAGGTTAAAACATAGAAAATAAACCATACCAAAATCCAACCAAGTCAAACAAGATATGGGGAGTACCTGTGCTCAGGTATGCAATATTTTTGTTGAATATTGTCCTGTGTAAACCTATAATAACTCTGAGAGTAAAGCTTGTTTCTTCATACTGGAGCAAATTCTTTTTGCCAGTGTACCTAAAATGTGTTTTTCAGAGAAAATTATTGGCATAAGTCCAAATATGCAAAGTGTGGTAAAGGCACAGGCTGAAAATAGAAGTCTGAGTTGTTTTGGACAGATCTCATGGTCTGGAATTTGGAACTTGTATTCTGGAAAATGGAACTTCCGAGAAAAGTGTCAGTAGTTTGGAAAATAGTCTGTTTTGGATGAGGATGAGAAGTAAAGCCTCGGTATTTTCCACAGAAAGAAAGAATTGTTCCCAAAGCTCTGTTGCAGGAGAACTGCAATAAAAATGCTTTAATACATCAACTGCCCACTTGGAAGGCTGACAAAGGTTGGGCCTTCTCGGATACCCTTTTACATGCTACATAGCCTGTCTCTAGTGTGGTAACACAGAACCTTTTGCCTCTACAATTCTTAGAGAAAGTTGCAGAGCTGAAATCAAATAAGGATTTCTCAAG